TGCAATTTTACTCTTTAACCTCACTCAGATCTCTACTCACATGCTATTTACACTTAGGGGTCTTCCTAGATCACACTATTTAATATATCTCTGTTAATTCTCTTTGCCCTATGTTACTTTTCTTCATTTTCACTTGACACAATATTTATTTTGTGATTTAAATTTATTTTATTAATTCTTCTACTTTATTTTATCATTTATTTTTATTCTTTTCACAAGCATGAATTCTACATGAGTCAGGTGTTTATTCTGTTTAATGCTAAATCCTAAGCAACTATAGCAGTGATGGGAACATAGTAGGTCTCAGAAGATATTTACTGAATGAATGAACAAGTGAACGTTCAAGATTTTTTTTCTACAAAACTAAGGAGAATAGTAGATATGAAAGAACTCTGAAACATTAAAAATACACAAATTTAAGATATTCATATTGTAAACAAATGTACACATATGCATATGCAAAGATTCCTCATCTAGCAAAAAGAATTGTATATTTACCACCACAGTTTTAGAATAACATGTCCATCATAATTAATTTGGGTAAGATGCCAGGGTAGAACATCTAAAAATCTGATGAAAGCATTAGCATTGCCTTCTATGAACTTACAACCTAATAAGAAAGTAAATCTAGCATATAAGCTATTAATGCAATGCAAGACAGAAAAAAATAGCCACTCAATGAAATTGTAAAACCTATGTTTAAATACCAAAGAAAGTAATGATTAATACTGTCTAGGATTAATAGGGTAGATTTATAAGGTAAGTTATATTTGAGTCTTTTTGGGTATCTGGCACAGTATTAGGTTCCTTTATGTATATTATGTAATATATCATGTGGTTCCTTCTTTTTTTAAAGTAGATTATAAATTAATAGTATAGGTATAGAAAAACTCAAAAGTTTTTCAAACATTATTAAGTACAGACCATAACTAGTTCACGCAGCACAGAATATGAAAGGGAGGATAACACAGTGACTGAGAAGACGGATTCTAATAGTTAGAATGCCTCAGTTCAAATGCTGGTTCCATTAATTCTCAGCTGAATCTCTGTGTTTCAGCTTCCTGATCTGAAACAAAGGGTAATCGTCATATCCACATCTCACTATGTTGATATGAGAACTAAAGAAGTTAATACATGCAAAATGTTTTGACCAGTACCTGACACGTAAGTGCCATAAAGATGCCTTTGAACAACAAAAGAAAAAAAAGGAGTGGAGGGTGGGGGGACTTTTACTGATGTGCACATTAACAGTAACTTTAGGAAGGAACATTTTCTAATTCTGTAGCAATTAATTGCAAAGCTATACAAATTTCTGATTATCTAGTGATAATTTCATGGGAAGTAATGTATGAATAAAATTGAGCAATCAATAGGATATTGTTCAGTTTTATGGGATCAATGATAAAGAAGACAAAGAAAAAGAAACAGAGTGCTCTTTCCTTGGCATATTTATCATAATATTACTTTACTTGAGATTCTAAGAAGGCACAAGCATCTAGTAATGATTACTTTGTATCAGGTTAAATCTGCTACTAATGAGGAGGATAAGTTCTGGACAAATTATAAAAGAAAACAAGGAATCCAACCCTCCAAAGGAAGGCAATATGTGAAAAAAGTAAATATTTATCTGGATCTGGTTTTTCCTCTGAAGGCATCCCACAGTCCAAATGGCACTAAGCAGAGAGAGCACAAGAAAAAAGTCATAATAGTACTGGCAAAAGAGTCAAAGGACTGAGTATGAGTACGTCATACGATTAAAAATTAAGGGAGGATCCCAGAAAACAGGGAGTCACCAGACCCTCCAAAAATCTGCATATATTATCCTCAAATCCTTGGCTGATTCCTTATTAACGTATACAAAATCTATCACTAAAATATATATAAGCGTATGTGGAGGATACTCAAAGAAACTGAAGAAAAATAGCTAGAAGGAACCTGAGCAGAAATTTCTGTCAGTGGTTACCAAAAGGAAGAGTCTGTAGTTTGAGTTCCACTGAATTGGAGGGATCTTTGCAAATGCCTCTCAAACATTCCACAGAAACCTCAAAAGCAACATACTTTAGGAATTAAAACACATTTAAGGTCTCAAAGATTTTTCCTAGGACAAAGGACAAGAGCAAAATAGAACTTCCTAACAAAGCACCTATAATAAATCAAGGTAATTTTCCAGGGATTTGTCTATTTTCTCTATAATAAAAGAAAACACAAACTATAGTCTCTACAAAGAATCAATCACAATGTGTACTACACAATAATAAAAAAAGAAAGTACTTGCTATGTAAATAAACAGAATTGTAACTTAAATAGAAAAGTCAGTTTTTAGAAACATATAAATTAATAGAAATAAACTCATAAAAAGACTACCTGGGTGTTCAAATTAGCAAACTAAAGCTCAAAGGGGAAAGTGAAGGGAAATAATCAATAGAACCTCAATAATACAGGTGTAAATGAAGACCCAGAGGAAAAAAGATAGAGAACAGGCAGGGAAAAAAAAAAAAAACTTGATGACATACTCAACAAAAATATTTTCCAAATTTGATGAAAAAGTCAAAAGTTCATACATAGGTACTACATACTCAAACTGTTAAAAATCAAAAGAAAAATCTTTAAAACAAAGAAAATACATTCCACAATGGGAACCAGTAAGAATGCTGGCTGGCTTTCAAAAACAACAAGTCAAAGACAACTCTGTTATCAATAACAATTACACAAACTATAAAAAAAATAAAACCTCAATTAAAAGATTGTCAGGTCCTCCCTGGTGGCACAACAGGTTAAATAAAGCACAGTGCTATGAAGCTGTTCAGAGAGTTCAGTTCCCAAAAGGGTGCCAGCAGACCTCTCCTGACCTACCCACTGATCTCCTCAGCAGTGTACTTCACTGGATCTGCCAGTTCTGCTCCCCACTCTGTCTCTGGTGAATCCTTTCACCACCCCTACACCTCTGGCCTGTACCCAGTTCTTTTATGCATAAATAAAAAATCTTCTAAAAAACAAATAAGAGATTGTCAAATTGGATTTTTAAAATGAAGATTCAACTCCATATGATTTGCAAGAGATTCTATAACCAAAGACACAGAGTTTCAAAGGAAATCATGTAAAGTACTCCGATGGCTATGTTAATAATCTAGACAAAACAGATTTCAAGTCAAGGAAAACTGACCAGAATTAAGATGCTCATATCATCATATTATCATGATATTATCCTTCATGAAGAAATGACACTAATAAATCTATATTTACTTAAAAATAAGGCTTTGATAAATGAACCAAAAATTAGCAAGAGTAAAGGCAGCAAAAGACAGTCTTAGTTGAGGATTTTTACAACCATTTTTTAGTAGTTGAAAGGAAAAGTAGATCTCCCCCCAAAAAAACTCAGTACCGTTTGATTTTAATAACACTATCAGCCAAAATGCCCTAATATTGCATTTATAGAATACAACATGCAACAGCAAATTATAAAATTCTTTTCAAATGCACATTAAATTCACCAAAGTGGACTATATGA